TTCTGATAAAAAAAACTCTATTTAATTTCGAACAGCATAAACCGTAATTATTTATCATCGTACTCGAAGCAAATAATTATTACAAACAAGTACAGAAGAAATTAAAAAAGAAAAATTTAAAGAAGCTGAAATTCTCAGTGAATAAATACGGCGAGGGTGTGTACCTCGAGTAAAGCGTCGATGCTGGCCGCCGACGGCGGCGCAAACTGAGGCGGCGGGCGGTCTAGTGTATTGTCTGCAGCTCCCATTGTTACGGTGTGTGAGAAAAGGGGGAAGAACGAAATATGTGTAATGAAACCGGGTCGACCCGAATGGGTCAAATTGAAAGGGCTGAACCAGCAAAAGTGGGCTATTTTAAAGTGGGTTGGGCCATGGTTTATTTAGTAAAACACTAATCATTTCAAATCTATAACAATAATATTAAACTTTAATTCTAAATTTATCACTATTGTTTTAATTTTAAAATTATTATTATTATTATTATTATTATTATTATTATTATTATTATTATTATTGTTGTTGTTGTTACTTGTTTTGATTCAGATTCTGGAAAATATTTTTTGAATTCCAATTCCCGAAATACTATTTTTTATATATATATATTAAAGTATAATTGAAATTGATTTTTATGCAAAAATTTTGCATTTTTTTCCTTAAAAAAAATACTAATTATGATCCTACGCATAGGATTTAATACACTACCAAGAATATTCTTCGCCAAATTGCCCACCAACTAGCATCTATAAAAAATGAATGGGAAACAAATACAATTTTGGTCCTTCAAATTTTCACATATTCCACATTTGGTCCACCATGTTCGCAAAAAATACATTTTACCCCTATGTTCAAAAAATTCAACATTTTTAGTACTAATGGAATCAAGCGTGTGCCCATACCTACCTCAACTGACGGAGTAACGGTATATCGACGAAAATGACAAAAAATGTTAAATTATACATGAGGGACCAAATGTGTTTTTTTGTGATCATAGAGGACAAATGTGTAATAATTGAAAACTTAAGGGGTGAAAACTGTAATTTTTTCAAAAATGAAAAAAAAATAGAATCTGAATTAAAAAAAAAAAAAAAAAGAAAAATGAAATCTCGATCTGCAAAAAAAAAAATCAGATTGTGTATATAAACCAACTGCTCACTTCCATGAGCAACTGCCACCCCTCCTTCTTCAGATCTGCTCTTAAAGCTCCCCTGTATTTTTTCCTTCATTCACCAGCTCCGTTCATCAAAGGTAAAAACCTCAAAAACCACTTAATTTTTACTCCCATTTTTTATTTTACTTTTTAATTGGGTTTTCATTTTTTTCAATTTACGCAGTTGATTATTGTGAGTTGAGATTCAGTACTTCAATTTTGGATTGCAGTCGGAAGAGAAATCAATCTGTAATGGCTGCCAAACGACCTGGTTTAATCGCTCTTTTCGATGTTGATGGCACACTCACTGCTCCCAGAAAGGTCTGTTCAATTTTAATTTTTTTTTGTTTTTGTTTTGCTTCTTCATTTTCAGTTTATGTTTGTTTAAATTGCATTTTGGGGAATTTTTATTGCAATGCTGATTTTGGTTGATTATACTGTATCCGTTTTCCTCGTGTGTATCGATAGTTTAATTGAGATTTGATTTTCGATTTCTAATTTCTGACACCTCTTATTATGTGGAATCAATAACTTCATTTGTAATCAGTGGTTGTATATTAATAGTTAGTGCTTATATTTTTGGATTATATTGTATCCGTTTTCATCGTGTGTATCGATAATTTAATCAACATTTAATTGTCGATTTCTAATTTCGGACACCTCTTACTATGTGAATCGATAACTTCATTTGTAATCGGTGGTTAATAGATTAATCTTTAATGTCCGTATGTTCGTGTAAGATTGGTTGGATCCATTTTTTTCTCGTCGCAAACTTGCTAGTTAACAGTATGTTTTCAACTCATTGTTGCAGGTTTCTACTCCTCAAATGTTAGAGTTCATGCGGGAGCTTCGTAAGGTACTTTCTCAATACGATTCTTTTTTCTTGAATAAGAATTAAAAATAAATAAATAAATCAATATGGTTTAAGTATGTAATGTTTACTCTTTACAGGTTGTTACAATTGGTGTCGTTGGAGGTTCTGATCTTGTAAAAATATCAGAGCAGCTCGGTGCATCAGGTTCAGATCGAATGCCAGATTATCCTAAATTTGATTTTAGTTATCATTTGCTTAACTTTCTTAATCCACGATTTGTTTTTTTTTCGCTTGTGCAGTAACTAATGATTATGATTACGTGTTTGCTGAGAACGGTCTCGTGGCTTACAAAGATGGCAAATTAATCGGGACACAGGTATTATCGAAAGATTCGACCCTCTTATAAATTTCAATAAAAACGGTGGTTGTAATGTTTAATGCCACTTGTCGTAAAAACAAAATCGGTTGGGAAATGTTTGTCCTTCTGAAATAGACGAAGTCGTTAGTTAGAAGTACTTCATACGCTCTTAGTTTTGCTATTAAATGGAGATTTTTTTTATATGTTCGGGTGTATTAAATGAATTCGATTGTTAGATGTTTTACTTTTGCTAGTTTCTAGTTTTGACGAGTTGATATATCTCGTGCAGAGCCTAAAAACGCATCTCGGAGAGGAAAAGCTCCAGGTTAGAATTCGCCACCTGGAATTTTTTAGTTTTGGAATAAAATTAATAGTGTTTTATATAGCATATACATGAATGCAAACCATTTCGGATTTTAATTACAATTGTTGTTGTTAGAATAATCTTGATATATTGTGAGTAATGTTATTACAGGAAATCATTAACTTCGTTCTCCATTACATTGCTGACTTGGATATCCCTATTAAAAGGTGATTAAAGTTAAAACCTTAATTAACACCTTGCTTGGCCATAAACATGGTCGTCATACATCCATTCTTTCGTTATCTTACTTTTTAAATTTTTTTTATTATTATTTTTGTTTAGGGGAACATTCATTGAATTCCGAAGTGGGATGCTCAACGTATCTCCAATTGGAAGAAACTGCAGTCAGGTGGAACGAGACGAGTTCGAAAAATATGACAAGGTTATATATATATATATATATATATATATATATATATATATATTTCTTAATGTTGAGTGAATTACGAACTCGAACTTGTCTTCTCGTTTATTTCTATCACTAATAGAATAATGTAATCAGGTTCACAATATCCGCCCGAAAATGGTGTCTGTGCTTCGAGAGAAGTTTGCACACTTTAACCTAACCTTTTCCATCGGCGGTCAAATCAGTTTTGACGTAAGCATCCGTTTATTTTCGCTCTGTTTTCAGTTATTATTTTTAGAAAATATCTCAAAACATATATATCTGGACAGGTTTTTCCTCAAGGCTGGGACAAGACATATTGCTTGAATACCTGGAAGAATTTCATGAAATTCACTTCTTTGGAGACAAGACTTACGAGGTTGTCTAAATATACTCTTGCTCATATTAATTTGCACACTAATATAAGTTCGTATTTCTTCTTCTCCAAATAGAAGATATCTGATATAAGTTCTTTTTCCCTTTTCCTTTTGTACATGAATAGGGAGGAAATGACTTTGAAATCTACGAGTCGGAGAGAACCAATGGTCACACAGGTAAGCTTACCCTCGTCGTATAGTTTTGTTTCTATAAAGACCCTTTGTCTGAACCGAAACTAGTTTTTTTTTTAACTATTAATTTAAATATTAAAAAAAATATTGCTTAGTCGAAATCACGAGTTTTTTCGGCATCTTTTGGTGAAACTCCTCGATATATTGATGTGAAATTTTTGCGTTAAATTGTTAACAGTAACTAGCCCAGAGGATACGGTGAAGCAGTGCACAACTCTGTTCTTGAGCTAGCGAAATGGGATGGATGCTTCCTATTATTCGTTTTTATTTCAATAATCCAGAGTTCGGGCAACAAATTTTTGTTGCTCACAAAACAATGTCTTCAAGCTTTTGTTGTAGCTTTTATGTTGTAAGATTTGGCTTTTGTAATCTATACAATCTTTAATTTATTATGCACCTATCTTCTTTGCTTCGTTACAATATTGTTTGTCTGTTGTTATTATTTTATTAATAACTAGTATCTTTCCCCGTGCGATGCACGGGATATTATTTCAAAAGTGAAAAAATATTAATTTAATTATCCCTTAAGATTTGAGATATATTGATGAAAAATAGGAGATTAATAATCGTTGAAAATTATAGTTAGAAAATTAGTAGAGAAAAATATTAAAAATAAATAATTACAGAAGTAGAATTTTTCACGGGTTAGTTTCAATTTTGATAATTGTTAAAAATTATAGTTAAAAATTAGTAGTATTAAAAAAATTAAAAATAAATAATTACAAAAATACCATTAAGATTTTATTAGGGTTTTTCTAGGGTTGCCCAGCGTTTTTTTCTTTTATATATAAGATTAATTGGGTAAATAGCACTTAGCCCCTAGAGTTTGAATTTGTGCAAATGACCCCTTGTACTTTCAATATAAGCACATGACCCCCTGTAGTTTGAATTTTGTGCACATGACCCTTTGTACTTTCAATATAAGCACATGACCCCCTTTAGTTTGAATTTTGTGCATATGAACCCCTAAAGTTTGAATTTTGTGCACATGACCCCCAGTAGTTTGAATTTTGTGCACATGACCCCTTGTACTTTCAATATAAGCACATGACCCCCCCCCCCCCCCCCCCCAAAAAGGGATGCCCCTTAGGAAGATGAAATTTAAGAAAGTACCGGGGGGTATATGGTTTATGCCCCAAAGAAAAACCCCCTGGGGGTAAACGCCATTTACCCCTTATTTAAAAAAAGGGGTTTTTGGTAGTTAATTCTGGTAAATTATAAATAGTTACTTGATAAATTCAATTTTTATGGTGTGAATCATGCATGATAATACAATAAAGAACAACAAATTGTACAAAAGTGTTTATGATGTTATTAAGGAATACAACTTCTTGAATACTATGACACATAATTACACACAAAAAAATGAAAAGGGAAATTACATCAGATTTATGTATCAAGAACTAAACATTCAAACAAAAGATAACAAATTCATATGAAAACTCAGAAAACCTCCATAATATGTAAGGCCATTAAAAAAAACGGGAAAAACCCGAAATACTTTTTATTTTTTTATAAACCCAAAATACTTTTTAGGATTGTTCTTGTGCCTTGTCGGACTCGTCGTCAGATTTCGCGTCGGGGGCATCCGCCCCCTTCTCGTTGTCGTCATGGTCATCGTGCTCCTTTGGCTTGTCAGAGCCCTCGGAATCCTCTGCCTCAACGGTCTCCATCGAGAGGCCCCTCTTGTGATTGGTGGAGTTGAGGACATGTTGGTAATTTCCCTTCTCCATGAAAAGCTGCTGGAAATGGACTTTGCAGTATAGTATTCCATCAAGTGCAGCATAGGATGAGTGTGTAAGGGGGCACCCCCCATGAGCACATTTGAAGCATGATTTGTGGAATGACTCTCCCTCCATAGTCACCTTTTTTTTTTAAATAATAAATAAAATTAGTCAAAAAAAAAAACGATAAATTGCACGATCGGGCCTTGAAGTTGTATCTAATTACACTTAGACCCCTGTCGAGTATGAAAAAAAAAGGCCCAGTTTCGGTTAACAGTTACAATTAGACCCCTAAACTTTCTTGGAGTTTTCAGTTTTGGCGAACAATTGATCCCGTTTGATCATTGAGTTATCGGAAAGTATTGATATCGATAGAGATGAAAAATAAACGAACCTTTTCGAGAGGGTAGACAATTTTGTCGCAAGCAGGGCATTTGTCTTGTGTGCCAGAGAACATGGCAGAGAGCTTGTTAGGTGCCCTTGTCTACATTGGATTTAAAACAACAAATATATATAACCTCAATTTAAGACATTATTTAGGATGTAAATGTAATAACTTTTTAAATAATTTTTTTTTTTTTTTTAATTATGGAAACGAGATTCGATCAGGCACTTACGAGTGAATTTTCCCTTTCTGGCTTTGCTGCTGAAACATATCGATCGAAATCAGAATGAAAATGGATGAAACCGAATAACGACGAGTAGAGAATAAATAGATAGATGAATAAAGATTCAAGAAAATGTGTTGTTTTCTTACAAGTTTGGAAATTCTTGGTAAAATGCGCCGAGTCCTTGAAAAGCTGTTCGAAATGAGTCTTGCAGTACAGAACTCCATCCATGGAGGAGTAGTTGCTCATCTGCCCACCAAAAATAAATAAATAAATAAAAACTATATATTTATATATATCAAGAAAAGGGGGGAAAAAGAAAAGAAAAATTACCACAAGGGTTCCTTTGCAATGGCTGCATTTGAAGCAAGACTTATGGAAAGTAGCTCCGTCAGCAGACAACAAATCGACAAAATAAACGGTCTTGTCACAAGCCTTGCATTTGTCCAAAGTCCCGGTGAATGCTGCCATTATTTCAGAATCTCAATAACTTGTTCAGCCTTATTACGAAAACTCCGGGATCAAGAAGGGAACTGGCAAAAATACTTTTTTTTTTTTAAGCCCCTAAATAATCCAAACTTTTTCGGCTATTGAGACTAAAGAAATTTTTTTGGTTCTGCAGAAACTAAGTGATTTTATTATCGACACCAGGCGCCAATAATAGAAAAGTTTTTATTTTCCTTACACGTGATCGGAGATCCCATAATTCGTCGGGAGGAATGGATGACTATTATTGGCGGTCCAAAATTTTGGATTGGTTTTCCGATTAAGGCGGAGAGAAAATAGTTTGACTCCTTCCCTATGTTTGTGGTAGTTATGTTAGTTACAAATGGGTTGTCAACATTCTTTCCACCTTATTTTCTGCCTGTTTAACCGCAGACTCTTTCTTTGACAAACACAATAAGTTTAAAAAAAAAATAAAGGTACTATGTGAGCTAGCCTTAATTTAACCGTGTTACGTTTCTAATAATACTAACGACTAATTTACTCGTGTTTTTACGCACAAAATAAATATCTATCGGGATCGTTTGTGCATAAACGTCACACTTAAGATATTTGTTGAACAATTTTGTTGTGATATACAGAATACGGTTGTCACGTGTTATATATTATTGATCTATCGTAAATCTAATTACATATATACACATTATCTATTAATAGTGCAATACGAGGACTTCAACGGGTCATCCATCCTAGTACGCGAACGCGATTCAAGCCAAGTGTATGATGTTCGAAAATATAAAACGAATCTTGATGTTCGGAAAATACAAATTGCACGAGCGCAAACAGAAGTGTAATTTTTTTTCTCCCTATGTAAGGCAATTCAAGTAACAGGAATCCCACATCAATAGTACAAAATCCATAACCAAAGATGGTAGTCGTGGAATTCAACCAATTATCCTTCAATTAAACTTTCAAAATATACGAGAAAAGTTATTATAACAACAAATTAAAGATCGTAAAACGGAGCCTACTTTTGATGTAAATTGATCCATATCAGAAGAAGATTATAGAAACTCCCATAGTGAAGCATCCCACAGCCACCCAAGGACTCAATCTCTCACCTGTTTCCACCGAAGCATCACTGAGTCAGAACTCGAAATAAAGCAGAAAATTTTGAAGGAAAATAAATAAATAAAAAACATACGAAAAGTAAATTCACACGAGCATCAACTGTTTGTACCACAAATTAAGTTTTAATAAAAAGAAAACGCCAGGGTTTTGTACTGAAGATATGAATACTAGTTATATGAGACTTATAATCGAGACGTGATTTTATATATTATAATAACATTTTGAAACTTCGAGATATTTGCAAATACATGTTGTACATACTGAAATGGAGTAAACGGTACCTATTCTAGCAGCTTTCCAGAAGACACCTCGAAACCTGCCACATTAGCATCAACTCGAGATTTAATCATTTAATCACTAAAAATGAAAAAGAAACGACAATGAATGGTTCCAAAAGTTCGAATTTGGAGAATACTGACCAACACGAAGAAAAAAAAAACTGCCCTTACCCTGTTCTCTGTTCAAGAAGAGCTGGAAACTGAATCTTTACATACGTGCATGCACAGATGCCCAACAAAACTACCGTGAGGAAAGAATGGAAATTGAAGAGTGCTGACTGAAAGTCCAATAAACAATAACATCAGTACTTCAAAACAAATATACGAAACGAGAATCACTGCACAACTAGTGTTGTAATAACAAAATCCAGACATAAATCTTACCATGTTAAAATTCCACTTGTTTCAGCACTTTGAAGCGTTCCAGTACGTCTACAAACACAAGTAGCATTCATCATCAAAACCATTGCAATACATTTATTATTTATAAATCAATCTCTAAAAATCAGGGAAAAATCGAAAAAAGTAAATTTGCAGATATCGAATTATTTCCACAATTATATACATGCACACGCATTTCCTAACATGTTCTCGCCTCGACGCTGCATTTGGACCTTGGAGAAATAAATCGAAATATATAAATATACACGAAAAATTAGCCGGAAACAGACGGAAAAAATCTACCATCTTCAAGCACTTGCCTCAACAAAAGCTCCTTCAAATCAGATAAACGAAATTTTGTAATATTCTCAAAATTTAAATCCAGACATTGTGGAAACAATTAAATTTGTCGAAATTTTCAATTTATTTATTTTCATGACTAAGATAGGAAATTCTTACATGATGACATTTCCGATATTCCACCCGAAAATAGTATCTCAGCAAATTGCAAAAAATAAAAAAATAAATGTAATTGTAAAACCCAGGCATCAGTTGCAGAATCGCAGCACTAATTATACTCATGACTCATGAGAGCATTTAATTGAGAAAATTATAGAAGAAAATAAATACTGTATTTTGCAGAGAATCCAATCCACTCTCAAAAAGGCAAAAAAATCTAATTGAAAAAAAAAGGGGGGAATTATTGAATCTAACACAACCTAATTTGATTTCTGGAATAAAATCATCGAAATTAGGAATAGACAGAGAGAGAGAGAAGAAGAGAGAGATAGAGAGAGAGATTTACAGAAAATTTGAAGTTGTCCTTTCAGCAGTCACCGGAGATCGAAGCTTTTCTTCTGGAACCGCCGTGTGTGTGTGTGTGTGTGTGTGTGTGAGAGAGAGAGAGAAGTTTGCTTTACAGGGGAGTCGTGGGCTAGCAAATAATCTTTTGCCACGTCCGATTTTACACGTGGCTATGTTACGAAGCTTTTATTTTAAAATGGGTAAATAGCACTTAACCACCCTGTTTTTTGAAATTTGTCGCATGACCCCTTTACTTTCAATTTAAGCATATGACTCCCCTGTATTTTAAACTTTGTGCACATAATCCCCTTGTACATTTAATAAAATCACGTAACCACTATGGTATTCAAATTGATGAATAATCATACTCATTAGAAAGAGATTTTTTTTCTAATGTACTTATGTGCTTATACTAAAATACAAGGCGGTGATGTGCAATATCAAAAAGTAAAAGGGGTCAAATGCATAAAGTTCTAACTACAGGGGATAAGTGCTATTTACCCATTCAAAGTTTCCAATTTTTCGATTTGCTAATTATTTTTTTTATTAATTGGAATACACGCGAGCGAACTTCCAATTTTCGATTCGATTTCAATTTCTAAAAATAACTAGAAATTTTCATACTATAGTCGGTTTTTGTGGAAGTCAAAAGAATTAAAATCATTCGGCGCACGTAATTCACTTAAAAATAACTTCAAACTCGAAAATATTCTTTTAATTTAACCCTTAAAAAATTATTACGTATCTGAAATTTTTAAAATTGTATATCTAGTTATAGTAACAAAATAAATATTATAAAAAATATTTATCAGCATCAAAACAAGTTTATGTTAGTCAAAACAATCAAAATTGTTATAATTAAGCAATTTAATCAAACATGAAAATAATTTTTAAACAATGAAAAATTAGAGGAAAAATAAATAAAAATAAAGAAAAGTAATAACAAAAATGAAAAAAAAAAAAAATAAAAAAAAAATTAAAATTGACACATTTCTCTCTCTGTCTCTCTCTCTTGCAATCCCTTCTGAATCTGTAATCTGTCCGCCCCCCGGACTAAAGTATGCAGTAGGGCTTCTCTCTCTTATCTCACATCTCTTTCATTATTCGGCGCACGTTAATACCCCCCGCCGCCTGCTATCATACGCCCTTCAACGACGGTAATCACTTCTCGTACGTCTCTCTTTCTTCTTGATCCCCCCGATTCATTTTCTATTTCTCAATCGCAACTCCAATTTATTTAAATCACCACCACCGTATTGTTAAAATTCATCTGCTCGAACAATAAGATTATACAAATTTTTTTTAGGTTATTATCATTGCAATCAGAAATCAGAAGCTAGGATTATTTTGAATTTTTCGCCCCCTTTTTTGATTGTTTCTGCAGTGAGATCTGCTGAGGGGAGTTTTGATTTGTTGAATCGTATTGTTGTGGAAGTTAGAGAGAGAAAGAGAGTGAGTGAAGCGGAAAAGTACTGAAGGTTAGGGTTTTGATGCGTTGGCTTGGTTTAGGAGATCCCTTTTTCCACTTCTGGTTTCTGGTTCGGCTGGGAGATGGCCAATCATGGCGCTAAGTTTGTGTCAGTGAATCTGAATAAGTCGTATGGGCAGCAGAACCAGCCCTCTCACCACAGTCACCACCCACATTTCAATGGCGGCGGCGGCGGCTCTTATGGGCAGGCGGCAGCTGGGCGAGGCCGGCCGAAAATTATTCCTAAACTATCAGTTCCACCCCCACTGAATCTGCCTTCATTGAGAAAAGAACACGAGAAATTCGATGTGTTAGGCTCTGGAGGGGCAGGTGTGGGGGCTGGTACTGGGAGTGGATCAAGACCTAATTCATCGGGCGTGGGCTGGACCAAAAATGTGGCGGCAGTGGCGGAGAAGAACGAGGCTGGTGATGTCACTCATGTGGTTGAAGAAATTAATGCTGTTACTGGGGCAAGTAGTCGAGGCGTTGGATCTTATATGCCACCTTCAGCTCGTTCGAATGGGTCGGGTTTTATAGGCTCTGCTTCTTCTACATCTCGAGATTTTCCACCATCTGTGGAGAAAACAGTGTTTTTGAGAGGCGAGGATTTCCCCTCTTTGCAAGCTGCAAGGCCTGTCTCCTCTGGGGCTTCACAGAAACAGAAGGATGGCTTGAATCAGAAGCAAAAGCAGGTCCTGCGCGAGGAATCTGTTCATGATAAGGAGAACAATCGTTCGGGTTCAGTGGCCGATATGCATCCGCTGGGCCAGTCCTCAAGAAATGCTCGGTTAGTTGAAAATGGTGGTGAGGGGCGTGTTATGGGTAGTGGACATATGGCTGATCAAATTCGAAAGCGTGAAGAATATTTGCCCGACCCACTGCCACTGGTTCATATGAATCCGAGGTCTGATTGGGCGGATGACGAGCGTGACACAGGCCATGGATTTGTGGGGCATGGAAGAGATACTGGTTTTTCGAACAGTGAAAGTTATTGGGATAGAGATTTCGACTTGCCTAGGCCCACTATCTTACCTCACAAACCACCAGCACTAAATCAATATGGCCGATGGGGTCAACGCGACAATGAAACTGGAAAGAATTTTTCCAGTGAAGTCCCGAGAACGGACCCATATAACAAAGAAGTGCGAGCGCCTAGTCGGGAAGGTGAGGAAGTCAACAAGTGGAGAAATTCACCGGTTTCTAAAGATGGATTTAGCTCTCAAGAAATAGGAGGCTATAGAGTTGATCCTGGTTCAAGACAGGCTGGCCATAATAACAACATGCTGAAAGATAGCGGTGCCATGCTTAACAGGGATTCTGCATTTGGGAGACAGCATCAACAGCGAAATAGTTCGATGGAGTCATTTAATAACAGAGGGGCTGAACGTAACCATCGGGATTACCATGTCACTGAACAACATAATAGGTACAGAGGTGATAATTTTCAGAATAATTCATTATCCAAATCTTCTCTTGGTTCTAGTGGAAGAATGCCTCCTATAACTGACCCCATACTGACGATGGGTCGGGATAAACGGTTCTCTAATAGTGATAGACCTTTCTCAGAGGACCCTTTCTCGAGAGATTACGGTTTTGCAAGTTTTGGTGAAAGGGATATGTTTTCAGAGGGTATTGTTGGGATAATTAAGAGGAAAAAAGATGCTGCAAAATCGACTGATTTTTACGATCCTGTCCGGGAATCTTTTGAAGCAGAACTTGAAAAAGTCCAGAAAATGCGAGAGTTGGAAAAGCAGAGGATCGTTGAAGAACAAGAACGAGCTTTAGAGCAGGTTCAAAGAGAGCAGGAGGAGAGACAGAGAAAGATTAGAGAAGAAGAGGAACGGCAGCGGAGGCTGGAAGAGGAGGCCCGTGAAGCTGTGTGGAGGGCAGAACAGGAAAAACTCGAGGCTATTCAAAAAGCCGAAGAACTGAGAATTGCCAGGGAAGAGGAGAGGAGAAGAATGCAATTGGAAGAAGAGAGGAGGAAACAAGCTGCCAAACAGAAGCTTCTAGAACTGGAAGCTATGATCGCCAAGAGGCAGGCCGAAGCCGCATCCAAATTAATTTCGAATGAGAATCTCGAAACAGCAGCAAAGGAAACAGTTGTTATCTCGAGGGAAGTCGATTTGCATCTTGAGCAGAACCAAAAGTTTGAAAGACTGGAACTTGAGGAAAGAGAATCATCGCCTGATGTGATGGACCAAGAGTTTGAAAGACTGGAACTTGAGGAAAGAGAATCACCTGGTGTGATGGATAATATGGTCTTAGGTTTTGACGAGGGAGTTCAAGTTGTAATACCGAGCGATGATTTTGAGAAAAAAATAGGTAGTACCATGGAAGAAAGAGGTACAGATGTTGGGATTTCTTCTGATGAACAAAATCTTCTGCCTGCAGATGATTTTTCTGAGATAAGTGCAGACGATTCTTCTGAGATAAGTGCTGATAGCTCCTCCTGGAAGGTTCCAGAAGAATCGACATTGGAAGTTTCTATTAGTCAACATGCTGGCATTCCATATTCGTCAGAAACATCAGATCTCTTGTTAGATGTTGCTGATTCTTCTGGTAGTGCTACTTTAGCTGCTCAGCAAACTGTTTCAGCTGATATTACTGATTCCTCTGGCAGTGCTAATTCAGCTGCTGCTCAGCAAACTGTTTCAGCTTCAGCTGATGTTATTACAGGTGCGACTAGTCATACTAATAATACACCATCTTTGTCTTGTATTGGAGGCCAGGGTGATTTACCATTAAAGCTTCAATTTGGGCTGTTTTCTGGTCCTTCCTTGATACCATCTCCAGTGCCTGCTATACAGATTGGCTCCATACAAATGCCACTGCACATCCATCCTCCATCCATTACTCACATGCATCAATCGCAGCCTTCAATGTTCCCCTTTGGTCAGCTTCATTATACATCTCCCATCTCTCAGGGGCTTTTACCAATGGCTCCTCAATCGATGTCTTTTGTCCAGCCTAATATGTTGGGCCACATTAATCTGAATCAGAACATGCGAGATACTTCCACACAAAATGTCAACAAGGCCGAGGTGCCATCCATTTCGATGAATAAACAGCCAAGTTTTGTTCCTGCATCACCTGAACAATCTAATTTGAGCCGTCCACAGCAACTGAATACAGTTTTGAATGCAAACAGCCACGCAGATAATTCTGTTCTACGTAATGATAAAATGAAGTCCGAATCTAGCTCCCAAGCAGAAGAGAAGGGACAGCGTCATGCTGTAGCCCCAAGGAGTTACTTACCATCATCAAAGGCACGAGGGTCTGAGAGTCACTTACATCATGTACAACCAGTGATGCAGCCTCCTGGTGGTGAGAGAAACTTCATTGGACACAGAGGTGTAGGTCCATTATCTGGTGGTGGTGGTAGGGGGAGAAGATTTACCTATGCAGTTAAAAATGCAAACACACGATCATTTGGTCAGGATTATGACATGCCAGCAGATTCGAATGGATTTCAAAGAAGGCCACGACGCACTGTCCAACGAACTGAATTTCGGGTCCGTGAGAATAATGACCGAAGGCCATCAGTGCAATCGGTTTCTTCTAATAATGCAGGCTTTGAGGACAAGTCTAATTACGTAGGGAAGGCTGTGGGAGTTTTTACTAGAAGTGGGTCCAAGAGAGGTACCTTCGTCCCTAACAAAATTCCGAGGCAGAGAATTGAATCGGAGTCTTCGGCTTCTGGAAACATAGTCTCTCAGGAGGTCAACTCTGGAGATAGGGCATCGAAAGAAACGGCAAAAGATTTATCAATTAAGAGTCAGTATAGTTCTACCTCACACCATGGTGAAACAAGTTTGAGGAGAAATGCGTCTGAGGAGGATGTAGATGCTCCGTTACAGACTGGTGTTGTGCGTGTGTTTAAACAACCTGGTATAGAAGCCCCCAGTGATGAAGACGATTTCATTGAAGTCAGATCCAAAAGGCAAATGCTGAATGATCGACGTGAACAGAGGGAAAAGGAAATCAAAGCACAATCACGCGTCACTAAGGTATCAATTCTTTTGGCACTATGGTATTTAGTTATTTAATCACATTTTTCTGCTCCTCTAAGAAAGTTACGTTTCTCTTTGTTCTTTCCAGCCGCCGCGCAAACCACGTGTTTCTAGACAAAAGGATGTCGTAGTCTCAAGAAGCCATAATAAACTCTCCGAGCCATTGAGCAGTGGAGAAACAAGCAAAACTCAAGTGGAGTTTACCTCATCAGAGATCCCTCCCTTTGCCAATAATGAAGTAGCAACAAAACTTACTTCTGCTGCTTGCCAGCCTCCAATTGGCACTCCTGCTATCAGTTCTGAAGCACAGGCTATCAAGTAATGTTCTTTAACAAGAACTTTCAACTTTTGATCTTTATAATAGGGATGTATGTTCTCAGAAAAAAAAAAGAAGGGAAAAAAGAAGAGGGATGTCTGATGTTTTTGTACATATGCTTAGCAGGTCGCCGCATCCAGGCTCAGTGTCTCTTGTTTCTAGTGGCAGTACAGAACGTGAGCCTGCACTGATATTTGACAGCAAAAATAAGGTAATGAATTGTGGCGGAATCATTCTCTACTACCTAGAATATTGCCGGGATTAACAAACAGGTTATATGTTTGAATTTGTATTGGTATGAGTTAGTGAGAATTGGTTGCTATCCTCCTAAAATGTGGCTGTGCTTTCTCAGTAATAATCCAAGTTCTTGTCTGATATTACTTGTCAGTTTGAAAGCTAAAAATGAAAACTAATTTTAACAATCTGTCTTTTCAACTGCCATTTGAAAGTCCAATTCAGCAAAAGCATTGTATAATCACAAAAAAAATATTCTGTTACATGAGTTCTACGAGTTTTATCATTTTGTTTATATGTTTTATTTTGAATGTGCTGGCATTAATTAGTGGAGGGTTGAGTAAACAACTTTAACTCTTATATTGCTTACCTGCAGTCTGTCTCTGTCTCTTTACCTGGTGATTAAAGTACAATTCGTTGCTTGTTTCTGGTACTGAATTTATTTTCTGATAGGTGATGTCTTTGAGCCAGACTCAAATTGACGAGGCTATGAAACCTGCTCGGTACGATTCACATATTTCTGCTGTTGGAAGTCATTCCACCTCAGTTACCGATCCTGTCTTGCCGACATCATCCATCTTGACCAAGGATAAAAGTTTTTCCTCTGGGGCAAGCCCAATCAATTCCCTTCTTGCAGGAGAGAAAATTCAATTCGGTAAAAATACGTGTTTACTATAATCTTTACTTTCGCCTGCACAATATTTTTTACTTCGAAAGTTGACTTTTCCCCCCACTGTGTCAGGTGCGGTTACTTCTCCAACACTTCTACCTCCTACTAGCCGTGTTGTATCACATGGGATTGGTGCTCCAGGTTCCAACCGAACCGACGTGCAAATGTCCCGCAATTTTCCTGTTTCCGAGAAAGACAATTCTCTTTTCTTTGGAAAAGAAAAGCACATGAGCGACTCTCGTGGGCCCCTACAAGACTGCGAGGCTGAAGCAGAAGCAGCTGCTTCTGCTGTTGCTGTCGCAGCCATCAGCAGTGATGAGATAGTCGGGAATCAGTTGAGCTCTGTCAATGACACAAAAGGTAGGGATTTTTTTTTTATTTTTTATTTTTTTTTATTTCAAGTTTGATTAATTATATCTTTTTACAGGTTATGTTGGGGATAAGCACTTGACAAGTCAATCATCACAGGCTGAGGAGTTATTAAGTGTTTCTCTTCCAGCAGATCTCTGTCTTGAAACACCAAGCTCCTTATGGCCACCATTGCCAAGTCCTCAGAGTTCCTCGAGCCAGATGCTTTCTCATTTCCCCGCGGGCCCACCTTCCCATTTCCCCTTCTATGAGATGAACCCGTTATTGGGTGGCCCCATTTTTGCATTCAGCCCCCACGAAAAATCTTCCGGTACACAATCGCAGCCCCCAAAGAGTGCACCATCCAGTTCAGGACCTCTTGGTAACTGGCAGCAATGTCATTCTGACGTGGACTCGTTTTACGGTCCGCCAGCTGGATATCCTGGTCCATTCATTGGTCCACCTGGTGGTATGCCTGGGGTTCAGGGCCCCCCACATATGGTTGTCTACAATCATTTTGCTCCGGTTGGACAATACGGACAGGTTGGTTTGAGTTTTATGGGTACCACCTATATCCCTTCTGGAAAGCAAGCCGATTGGAAAAACATTTCAACATCCTCTGCCATGCATATGGGCGAGGGAGACATTAATAATGTGAATATGGCTAATGTGCAGCAAAGTGCTCCTAATAATATGACTCCTCCCATTCAGCATCTTGCACCAGGATCTCCTCTCTTGCCCATGCCTCCACCGATGCCCATGTTTGATGTATCTCCATTCCAGGTAAAAAACCCTTTCCCCTTTTATTCACTATACGTTGCATTAAAAAAAAAAACGGAGCAAAAATGTGGAACGGCTAAATATGTGTAGTTGTATTCCCGTCTATCATTTGTTTTTGTGAAAATAGAAAGAATGTGTAAAGGCTACATTTATAATGTGTAAATACTAAGTAGACTAAATTTAACTAGTGTGTATTCCTTGTCCATCGGTTATCTTACTTCAATTTTTTGTTTACAGGAATATTGTTGTGTGCATCAATTAATTATTTATTAATTAATATTACTTATTTGTTCTTCAAATCTTTTCTGTACAAATGACATTTCTGTACCTACATAAAATGGAAGAAACCACGACATGTATCATACACCTATAGATAGTATAGATGGATACAGATAGATAGCTGTAGAGTAGATATAGCTCATTGACTGTTGTATATCGAGTGCAAGTACATCTACTTGGCAAATATTGTAAATCTTCTCATAGGATTTCTTGTCTCCTTTTCAGTCTCCAGCTGATTTGGCCGTCCAAGCTCGATGGGGGCATATGCCCCCTTCACCACTCCACTCAATCCCAGTCTCTCGACCATCACATCAACAAGTAGAAGGTGCATTGCCTCCTCATGTCAATCATGGGCATCATTCCGTTGACCAGTCAATAATTACCAACAGGTTCACCGAGTCTCGAAATCCTACACAATCAGATAAGGGGCCGAATTTTACTTCTGGTACCACCACTGAAATGGCATTAGTAGATCCATTGAGATCCACCACCAACACCAACACCAACACAGGTTCATCTGGGCAGAGTGCTCGTGTTCAAAGCTCGTCTGGAAGTACAAACGCTGAATCTGGCAAGATTGATACAATCGAGAATGCCAAACAACACCATGATGCAACTTCTTTCAAGACTCCATCATTTTCTAGAAAGAATTCACCGGGGGGCCCACAAACTAGTACAGGTGGCTATAATAATTATCAACGAGGTGGCATGTCTCAGAGGGGCAATATGGGTAACGATTTTTCTCATCGTAGGATGGGTTTCCAAGGAAGGGGCCATGTGGATAATAGAGGTTTTCATACTGCAAAGGTTAAACAGATTTATGTGGCTAAACAAACCAGTAGCAGTGGGGGTCCCACTGCATGAATCTGACAGTATTGAACGATGCAGATTATATATCAGTTGACAATATCGAGCTTCGTCTGGAATATGCATAGTTTGGAGAATCCTTTTTTGGAGCCTGAGTTGTTTCGTATTGGAGAATAGCTGTTGAAGAGGTACGTTTCTGAAACGATTCGTTCAAGTTTTTCTCTCCCGAGAGGGTTTTGATGTTGGAAATAATTTCAAGGTCTGAAATTGTGTTTTGCTTCTTCTCTGCGAGATGGAAATTTGTTTTATGTTTCGAATTAGTTACTACAATTGGTGTATTTTTGCCACATTCTAAGAGGTCGATCCCATACGTATTTCTAAAGTTATTATGGTTGTAGTAAAGCTAGTATTAATTAACTATGAAGTTAGTTTAGCATGATTTGATTAGCACAATTTGATGTGTGGGTGACATTTTGATGAATATGTGGATTGTCTTATAATCTCATTCATATTCAGCTACCATGGAACATTTTGATGAATGTTTGGACATTTTTGTAATCTCATTTATCTTATTTTTCCATGCTCTCGATAAACGAGTACCGATTCTATGTAGTTATTTTATTTTTCTATGCTATCGAGAAACGAGTTCTGATTCTATGGTAGTTATTTTTCTTATCGTTTATTAGGGATTACATTGACATGGAACTCGGTATAAATAACTTTTATTGAAAATCCTTCGTTTCAACTAATGTACAATTTATTATACGAACAACATTCCAAGCATAAATTTATACGAGCTTTAAATATCAAGGTGGCAACACAACTTGCTGAGACAACACAAGATCGGACACAGTCTTACCGTGCCTGTCGATTCTTCTAGAGCAATTAACTCCGCCATCTAGAACATTCCGGACAACAACGTTCAGAGAGTGGACCCCTCTAACCTCGTAGATCTCCACCCCAACATTACCATTAACCCACTCGTCTCTTCTTTCTATGTCTCGAGAATCGGGGAAAGACGAGGGATCTAAAAGACGAGAGAGGATATTCTTTACCCACTCAGGTGTTAGAACCATCTTAAGCCTCTCGATATCGGGTGGGTAATGTGGGATGATTGAGAAGTTTAGGTCGTTCCCTTTATCGCCCACCCTGCTATGAGCTACGTTGTAGAGAGGAATCTTTTCGCCAGCTGGTGCAGCAGTGGGGCGGCTTTGTGGGGCCCTCGATTCTTTGGTTGAATTTTCTTTGCCCACGTGGATTGTGTTCTTTGTAGTTGATAAGCTGGTTATGTTGTTGTTTCGGGCAGCATAAGTTTGCCAGTGAACATGTTTGCGTTCTACCTGTGACAAAAAAATAGTATTTATATACGAAACGGGTATATACAGATAGATAGATAGATAGAGAGAGAGAGGAGAGACCAATGCTTTTTCGAGAAAAATCTCTTTCCTGTGTCCAGTGCTGCATTACGTAAATAAAAAGGTAAGCCGGCATAAAACAACAATAAAGATGAGTGTGAATTATAATCTCTAATAAAGCAACAACTAAATTTTGGGAGCAACTGCAACTATATAGAACTGCCTAAAAACAACTCAAATATAGCAAGTATTGTAGAAAACTACTCAAACAAACGATTTGATATTGCATTTTATTGCCTAATATCATTAGAGTTCAAATAATTCTCATCGGTAAAATATCCTCATGAAATCTTTACACCATTCAACACTTTCTACTGACATGCTTAGATGAATAACACATATGTGCAGTATTTTTAATATAAAAATTGTTAATCTTTCACCAATCTCAACTACAACCCTTGGTGTAAAACGTTCTATAATGCGAACAATGTGAAAGCCAAGTGCAATAGCATTATTAGAAGGATTAATGTAAAATGAGTGAGAGTAAAAGGATATGGCGATATTAAGCAAAATGTAAAGGAAAACGAAACAAAAACCTGATGCCACCACCGCCAGCAGGGCCATTGGTGTATAAAGCTGTGAACTCTTTCGTTAGCTGGATTGCATGTTCCTCTTTCTCGAACAAGCCATCCATCCTTAATCGAATATCTTCACTCGTCTTTGACGATAAATCCTCGACACATGATGTTTTTAGGCTATCCAGACCAATAATGTAGGAAACAATCTTGTTGCTTGTACCAGGATATAATTCTTCCACCCAAGCCCTTACCTGATGCCAGAGAACAACAATATTATCATGCTAATCGCTAAAATAGTAAATCAAAAAAAAATTATCTTTCCTTTTTAACATGCCATACGATAAATTCATTGGTACAAGATTCAATTTGCACTTGGAAATAGAAATTATTTACAAGAAATTCAGCAGCTTTAGCACGTTGTATTGACGCATAGCCTCCATAGGAGATTTCTCCCCAGCCTTTCCATCCATTGTCCTGCATACAAGAAAAAAACATGAACACGAGAAACCAAAAAACGTCAACGTTTTTTTTTTTTTTTTTTTTTTTTTTTAGGAATATTCTTCCATGAAAGAGAAACACATACATATGTACCTTTGATCTTAGCAGCAATAGTTTTTGAGGTATGGATGCAGGTGAAGGCTTTGCTCCTAAACAGAGAACTTTGCTCTCGGACAATGGTTGAAATGTGACATCTTGAATATCTATAATCTGCTCATAAGAAACAAAGGATTCCACTTCTTAATTTTTTCCAGTTTAAATATTAGTGTAGCTGAAATACAAAATTGCAATCCAACTTACCACATCCGGGGTAATGTATGCACTAGGATCCCCGATTTCATAAAGAAGTTGTTCAGCGCAAGTATTGAAATTTAGGACCCCTCCGCTGGCTTCTGCCTTCGCTACACAAATCTTGCCGTCGAAGGTAACTTCAGCAAATGGAAGAGACAAATCCAAGAGATTTTGGAAGGACATATTTCGATGTTTATCACCTAGAAGAAAAATTGTACGCAAATGTGTCCTCAAATAATTCTACGAGTTAAATAGATATTAAATATTTGCACTAATGCTGAAGTATTTCACCTGGGTGCATATAATAACCTCCTGTGAGTTGACAACCACATTCGAGAAGATGACCTGCCACAGAGCCTTGTGCTAGGAGCTGCAGCTGATCCCAGTTCCATCCTAATTCATATACCTGATCACAAACAGAAGCCATTCATTAGTAGATAACAGTGATTAACATGTAAGAAGATGCTCGTATAATAGTATATTTAGTAGATAAAAAGGAGATATGTTTTCATACCATTGGAGCTAAGAATAAAGAAGCATCGGCCACCCGAGAGGTAATTATAACATCTGGGGTGTATCTCTCCAGACATTCAACAATTGGAGATGCTCCGAGATACACGCTAACATCCTACGTAAATCGAGGCTATTTCTTGAGATATAAGATGTAAAAGGAGTTGCAAACACCACTAGGCAAATATTGACTACTCTAAATTGTATGGGTTTATTGCACTTGGTTCCTGAGTGATTTTGAATCGCTAAAAAACTACCCCATGTTATTTTATTGTCAGAAACCCAATTCAATTTTTTTTAACACACAACCCCATTCAAAAGGGTACTAATTGCTAAAAAAAGTAAAATCATAGGGGGGTTTTGCCAATAAAATAACATGAGATAATTTTCTACCAATTTGATACAACACATGGGTACTAATTGCAATAAACTCTAAATTTATATGCATATTTGATTATTTATCCCCCAACCATGACAATTTGACAGGTCTATTGTCCAGTGTTCAGTGCAAGTTATAAACTCCTAATATTACATGTATGATGATTCAAAAGATGCTACTCACAGAGTCAAAAAAGAATGCCAAAATCTTACACCATCGACATATTTCAGTTCACCGTCCACTCCTGAATAGGTTGCAAAAACAAATTAAATTGTTAGCATTAATATACAGTCTTGATAATAGAATATTCATTTACTATATTCCTCTGATGTTAATGAATACCTATTTCTGAGACAGATGACTGATAAGCCAGGCCAACGGTCACATCAATCCCAAGTTTGCTCGCAGTTCGTAAAACCTCTTCTTGAGCACCATATGGAGACTCTTCACATGAGTTACAAAGAGTATGAATACATATTTATACGAGCCATGGCAGTTTTGAGGTCTTGAAATTAAAAAAAAAAAAAAAGGAAAAAAGAACGATAAAATTGCAAATCAAAATACTCACTAGCACCCATATTGGTAATAATGCGGACACCTCTCTCGATAGCCAGTGGTAAAAGCAACTCCATCCACTCAGAAACTGCACAATCATCGACAACTTTGAGGAAATTCAAATTGCATCAAAGCATGAAGCATATAATCAGAAACATAATGAACTTCCCCAACATAATATTTGTCTTTCTCCGAGTCTTGGTATAGCGAAGCATAAGAAATCAAGTACAGCATGTGAAAGTCGTTTATTACGATCTCACAAACAAGAACTCATTTTAAGGAAAGAAAAACGAAAAAAAAAACCCAAGCAACACATATAATCTATATCAGCTTGTTCTAAGATTTAGTCCTAATTTTTCTCCTACAGAAGCATTTTATCATACAACTTCAATGCACAAACAACTTCGATGAAGTCCTTAAACTTTTGAAAATCAAGAAGCAATCAAAAAAACAATTAACAACATGCAGTTGAAAATTATACATACTGCGAGGATCGTAGCCCTTGCCGCCGGACTTCAAAGCACTGGAACGCTCGGCCAGAGTGCGTTCCGCTAAGCATTCGAGTACTAAGTAGTCCAATTCCTCCACTCTCTGAAGCAATTTCAGTGCTGCAATCGGCCGATCGCCGCCAAATCCAGCTCCACAGCCTACAACCACCTTCTCCTTTCTCCGCCGCGGATTCAGCCTCTACGATCGGCAACAATTATATTATCCAATTGAAAAACAAAATTAGATATCTTCTTTTTGACTAATCATTTTTTTCTTCAATAATTCGAATGATTTGATACAAGATAGACAACGAACCAGCTTAACTACGCAGTCGTGAGTCTCCGGAGATTCGCCGCCCAAATCTTCCATTAACGCCGTTAATTCAAGGTTTTCAGGCATCAGTGCTTACACTGTTAATAGTTGGATTAAATTGCAAAATTTAAACAAGTGGGATTAGTGGTTAGACTTCCACGTAAGATGAACTATTATTTAAGCTGAAAAAAGGATTTCTTTTTTAATAATTATTATATAGTTTAATTAAATTTATATATGAAGAATATATTTGCCCATTTCTTTACATGGATAGACTCCTATGACTAATATGTGCCCAATTAAATTACAAGCCGAGAGGCCCGATACCCAAATAAATACTTTCGGGCCATAATTAAATTCACCAAACATAATCTATCATCAACAATTCAATCATTCTTTAAATTTTATTTTCACGTATATCAAGATTCTTTCTAATTTTCTCGAATTTGAGGAGGCTGACTTAGGCATTGGAGGATTTTCATCGTAACGGAACTCCATTTCCCCGAAGGGAGAAATATTCTCAAAGAATCGTTGTGATTTCAAAGATTACACTAAATTGATTCATTCGTGTTGATTTATTATTGACAACATAATTCATAGTCCAAATTAATTACAATCCATGCTTAGGACCTGTAACCCCTATAAAATTTCCATATTTATATTAAATTATAGGTTTTTTTTTTTGGTTGAGTAAATTACAACCACCTCCTTGAAGTAAAGTGTAATTATGAAAACTCTTTCCGTTTGAAAAATTACATCCAGTTCCCTACAAAAGGGTATTAATGAAAACGTTTACAAATTGTATGGGAGTGGATGTAATTATGGAAAATGTAGGCGTCTTTTTCATAAATAGATATATACTTCCAAGTATACATACAGACATATGTACGCATATATCGGCTTCCCTAGAACGGTCGGATCTTCGTGAATTCCCCCATTTCTCTCTCGCATTCAATTTGGTCTTCTCTCTGCCAACATTGTATCCAAATAAATTCACAGCAATTAGTCTGTATATAGGTTCGTAGTGTTTTTCTTTGTAAATACAAGGGTTACAGGCGTAGAATTTGTGCAATTTGCTATTTTTTTTTTTGTAATTTCGCAGTTAGGGATTTTTGATGGGTTCGAGAGCGAGATATCCGCCGCCGGGAATGGGCGGAGGCAGAGGTGGAGGTGGAGGTGGAGGCGGCGGAGGAATGAACCCGAACGCCGGACCAAACCCTAGTTTTCAATCGAGAAACCCCCCACATCAGTATGTACAAAGGAGCCCAGCTCCGAACAATCAGAATTATCAATTGTTTCAAAACCCTAACCCGCAGCAATGGCAGCGAAGAACTCAGATGCTGCCCGCCGATTCATCTGTCGACGAGGTAGAGAAGACTGTACAGTCAGAAGCCACTGATTCCAGGTTAATAGTTTTCCCCCATTTTTTCTGTACGCGTGGGAGCTTTTCGATTTAGTTGCTACTTGTTTTTTCTGCTGATTAGTGGTATTTGTATCCCTTTTTCTTTAATTTTTTTTTCGATTGAAGGTTTGTTGTATTGATTATTAGTGTTCCTATGTGAGCTGGAGCTAAAGCATTAAAAATTCGAATTAGGGAAACGCCGAACTAGTTATGTTTATTGAACACCTAAACGAGCAAGTCTTTAAAGTTCGGCTAGCTGAATTATAAATTGGCTAGAGATGTTCTGTCAGATATGTATTGGCTTTGGCATTTCATATTGCGGTGGGTCAAAAGATTGTAGGGTAACGAAACGGGCTTCCGATTTAAATGAAGAAGAAAGTTATTTATGAAACTGTTTCTAATTTTAGGCGTGCGCCAGTTGGCATTGATTATATGGTAGGCGCCGATTTAAATGTTCCGCATACTTCCAACCTGCTATAGGGGGAGACTTTTGTTGTTTTGCAGCAAAACTTAAGTTCGGTTGATTATGTTCTTGGATTGCCTTACCTGTTATTGAAACATTTGAAGATGCTGCCTTTTCTTTTTCAAATCGAGAACTCAATGATTCCTTTTTTTTTTTAAACTTTGTTATGACATGCTGAATTTAAAGGAAGTTATTTCGGTATCAGTGCGATGCAAACCGGCCTTTCTGGATTAAACTACTTGTTATCAAATGTTTGACAGAGGAGATCTTGTTAATATTTCCACCCACTTTTGTGCTTGCACGTCGATATTTTTATTTGCTACTTCATTTCTCCGGGCTATTACTACTTTTGTCTAGTTGAGTTTTGTAGTCTTAATTAATCTCTTACCAATTTTTCTACATTTTGTCAATAACATCTTCAATTATTCCTGCACAATTGACACTAAGATTTTTCTTCTTGTCCAGTTCACAAGATTGGAAGGCGCAGTTAAAGTTACCACCACAGGACACTCGTTACAGAACCGAGGCAAGATTTTCATCGATTTACAAATTTTGTGGAATGCTAGGCCAACATTAATTTTGTTATTGGCTTAGTTTGTTGTTAAGTTGTTCATTTTCTCGCCTTATATTAATTTTAGATGTTGTTATAGTAATTGAATCATTGAATAGTTTCATCGTTTAGGAAAATTAATTATTTGGTGAAAGGATGTTTTGTGGATGTCACAATTGATAAGAACAAATTGAGAAATTAATTATTTAGGAATTGCATTGGCTAATTATGATCTAAATGAAATCATAAAACATTTAAGTTTTAAACTTAGTTATCGCCTCAGTTAGGCCCCTCTTAATATTTTCATTATGCGTTTTGCACAACACTTTTTACTCATTTAATGCCTTCTAAAAAAAATTAATGTTAGTGCATTATTTGATTTTTTACCTCTATTAGCTGCAGTGACTGTTATGCATGTTCGGAACACGTGGTTCTTTAAGTGACTGAAAAATAGTCATATGATGACCTAAGCAGTCTGTTAGGATATTGTTCAAGTTCTGATTGACTTCTATGTTGTGGATCATTTCTGTTGCATAACGTCCATGGAGATTTCACTGCATTTTTCATTGTTGTCTTATCAGAAGAATTAAGTTAAGTGGTGAAAACAACTAAAATAATGCATAAAAGCTTAATAACATCAAATTGTGGAGAATAAATGGGGACTATGGACATCATTTCTAGACATGTATCCGAACTGGAAAATTTGTGTTAAGTGTTTCAACTGATCTTAAATTTGAATGGAGACTCTATTAAGTTGATTGATTGAGTGAAAGCAAATTAACAACTCCTCAACGCCCACTCCCCCCTGAAATATTGTTTTTCTGACATGTTTTTTAGCGTAATATGGATTCTTCGACTTCAAATTCTTTGAGATATGTGGTTGTTCGTGTTGTTTTCACTTACAGTTTACCATTTCTATTGGTACGCAAGTCCTGTAGAAACTAATAGCCAGATTGCCATTTGGATTTTTTCTTTCAGGATGTTACAGCTACCAAAGGAAATGAGTTTGAGGACTACTTTCTGAAGCGTGAGTTGCTTATGGGAATATATGAGAAGGGTTTTGAGAGGCCATCTCCTATCCAGGAGGAGAGTATTCCAATTGCTCTCACTGGAAGCGATATATTGGCTAGGGCCAAAAACGGGACGGGGAAAACTGCTTCCTTTTGCATTCCTGCTTTGGAGAAAATTGATCAAGATAAAAATGCCATTCAAGGTTTGAATTATCCTTTTAAAGTTTCCTAAAAACATAGAATCTCCGAACTTTTCTTGGAAGAAATGGGCCTATGTTTAACATTCTAAACCCTAATGAATTTTGGGAGGCCTTGATAAACGTGTGATAGCCATCTCACATAAAAAAGAAATGTTAATTTTCGCTATAGTATAGTATCTTATGGTTATGCATGTTTGCAGTTGTTATTCTTGTCCCAACGAGAGAATTGGCTCTTCAAACTGCACTAGTTTGTAAAGAACTTGGGAAACATTTACAAATTCAAGTTATGGCTACTACCGGTGGAACTAGCTTAAAAGATGACATAATGCGCCTCTACCAACCAGTTCATCTTCTTGTTGGCACACCTGGAAGAGTTCTTGATCTTGCCAACAAAGGTGTCTGCATATTGAATGAGTGCTGTATGCTTGTGATGGATGAGGTATGTTTTTTCACAATTTTTCGTCATACTGTTAGTGGATCATGTTTTAGGGTGTAAATAAATATGATCGCTTATTTTAACTTCAGTAAAGATGTGACGTTGGTTTCCACGAACAATACTATAAAGTGGGATAGTAATATGCTCACTTTATTAATGTCTTTCAGGCTGATAAGCTTTTGTCACCGGAGTTCCAACCTTCTATTGAGCAGTTAATTCGCTTTATGCCTACAAATCGTCAGATTCTTATGTTCTCAGCTACATTTCCTGTTACTGTAAAATCTTTCAAAGATCGATACCTTCATAAGCCCTATGTCATCAACCTCATGGACGAGCTTACCCTCAAGGGTATAACCCAGTTTTATGCTTTTGTTGAAGAAAGACAGAAAATTCACTGCCTCAATACTCTTTTTTCGAAGGTACGTGATCAAGGACCAATATTTGGTGGTTTTTGTCATTATATGCATATTCTTCTGTCTCTTTCGATTTTTGTTATGAACTTAATAGATCTATTGTTTTTGCCTTCAGCTTCAAATAAACCAATCTATTATTTTCTGCAACTCTGTGAATCGAGTAGAACTTCTTGCCAAGAAAATTACGGAACTTGGCTATTCTTGCTTCTACATTCACGCTAAGATGCTTCAAGATCATCGCAACAGAGTATTTCATGATTTTCGCAATGGTGCATGCAGAAATCTTGTCTGCACTGGTATGTTATTCACTTAAATTTATATGGGTTAGTCAAATCATTTTTATCTTTACTGATTCTGGTGGTGATTCTTCACAGAAAAGGTTTAAACCAAATATGTACTGAACAGGAGCTTTAAACAAAATTTTGTCATTAACTTTTCAGTTGGGAATTTATACTTGCTTGGTGGCAAAATTTGGACTTATTATCAGTCCGGTTAAATACGAATATGTCTTTCTTGGATCAATAAAGTGATATCGGCCAATAATGAGGATCGATCAGTGAGAAGCAATTTGTTTATATAGTGTGCTAAGAATTTTATGATGAATGGGGTTTTTCTACATTCGTTCCTTTTTATATATTATTCTTTCTGCATTCCTACATATTCGTTAGGTGTTTCTAAAACAAACCGTTCCTTCATAAAGTGATAAGTAAATTGCTGTTGTTCTTTTACCTTTTAAATTTGTTGGAGCTACCTTAGTTTAGTTCCTTCTCAAGGATTTGTTTTACGTACAAACTACAGAAATTCTAGCGAAGGGTGTAACAATTTTCATCCAATACTAATTTTTTTCTTCTTTATAATAATCATGTCCTAATCCTTCATGTAATTCTTCTTTACTCGTTTCCTATAAACAACTTGCAGACTTATTCACAAGAGGAATAGACATTCAGGCTGTCAACGTCGTCATCAATTTTGATTTCCCAAAGAATTCAGAAACATATCTACATAGGGTACAATAATTCAAATTCTTGTCTGGGGTTCCATGGCCTTTTTTTTTCCCGTCTGATTTTCTTACGATTATCCATGTCATCATGTGTAGGTTGGTCGATCCGGAAGGTTTGGACACCTTGGTCTAGCTGTGAATCTGATCACATACGAGGACCGCTTCAACTTGTATGCATCTTAATACCTTCGGTTTTTTTTTTCTTGATATATATAGTCACGTGTTATTCCAAATTATTATCCTCTCTAATTTCTTCTATCTTATTTTTCAGGTATAGAATTGAACAAGAATTAGGGACCGAGATTAAGCAGATCCCTCCGAATATCGATCAAGCTATATACTGTCTGTGAATCTGGTGTTGGCTGGTATTTATTTACCCTTTCATGGTTCGAAGCGGTAATTTGGTGATTTATAGAAACTAATGCATGTTTTGTATTGTCTGTGAGTTCAATTATAATTGTTCTTAGGTCAATTTCTAAAAAAAAATACCCCTTTCTCCCATTCAGTTGTTGACTTTTTTTTTCATGTTAATTGACCTTAGGTCAAATATGCTTATGTTATGTTAATTGACCCTTTGAAGTTTGAACAGTTCAACTAAAATTATCAGAGAAGTTGTGTTTAATTCGTGTAATGTACTTGAAAATCGTTTCTTTTAATAACGGGCTATAACCGACATTTTAGTGTTGAGATACTTGCGATTTCTTTTTCCCCATCATGATTGAAACATTCCTAATTTATGCATGGATTTTCGATGAAACATTAGTTTTGACGGGTAAATGTGACTACCGAAACGGATGGATTTTTCCGTCATTAGCCTTTACTTCAAGAGGGTATTAAATGTTTCTAAACACGAAGCATTTTGAAATAACTTGAAAACGAGAGATGAGTGTTTGAGATTCAGTCGAGTATCAAATTTCTTTGTCAAATGACTCGATTTTTGAAATAGTTTCTTCGACGAATTTGTTTTCGATCGAATGCAGCCTTTATCTCTTTCGTAGAAATTCAAGATTCAAATGCAGAAAGATGGAAGTTAATTTTGTGGTCCCACTCTTTTGAGCTTTACTTTTGAGATAAGATGAATTTGATTTTGGTTTTCTTCTATAGAGAGTGAAATAAAATTACTGAGTGTAGATAAAATGGAATGGTCCAGATTCATGACAAGAACTTGAGATGTGAAGTCCATTAGTTGTCGGCTGGGAAAAAAAATTGATTGTACTGAATAAATGCTAACCTAAAATTAGTATATAGTATGTTTGATTCATGTTTTTGACTGCATTGAATTCACTTTTTACCTACCTTAGTGTGTGTGTGTGTTTTGACTTGGAGGTATTTTTTGGTCAAATATATACTACACATTTGTATACACTATAGCTCATGTTACAATGTCGCATGATCATGTTACAATGTCTGTGTTTTGATACTCCGGTAAACGTCAATTCCGATCCGAAAATTTTGTATATTGGAACAATTTATTTCAATCCGGATTTTGAAAATCAAGATTCTTCTGATTTGCTTTGGATTGGAATTGGAATATAAATGGGATTTTGGTTTTTGATCTGATCTTAATTTTCGAAAATATTTCCCAAATAATCTTTTTCTTTTTTTTTTCCCTCAAAAGTTGCATTTATTGATATCTATAATTATATATTTTATATTATATATGTAAACACAATATCGGATTTTCGACTGAAACATGTTTTTCCAATTCCAATTTTCGAATTTCCATTTTTTTTGGGACTTCTTTTGTAATGGGGTTGGGATTAATTTTCGATTCTGATTCGACCTATTTGATTTCCACCCTTAGTGATAGTCAAAGAAAATATCTACGTTAATAAACTATGGCATATTAAATTTTGTGATGAAACTAGCCAAACAAATGCATGTGAAGAGAAGTAATCTATGTTCGATCACAATTCTAGAATATAGGACCTATTTTACCTACCTACTTTTTTTTTCCTATTTGTCAACATCTCATAGTAATATATATAAAATTAAAATTAAAATTAAAATTACAATTAAAATTAAAATTATAAAAAAAAAAAAAGAAAAAAAAAAGAAAGAAAAACCGGGCCAAAAAATCTGTTAAGCAACTTGCTGCATTGAAAATGAATAGACTTCTCAAACTTCAAAGTTGAGAGAGAGAGAGAGAGAGAGAGAGAGAGAGAGAGAGAGAGAGAGAGAGAGAGAGAGAGAGAGAGAGAGAGAGAGAGAGAGAGAGATTGTTGATTGTCGATTGTTGAAGAATGGGGAGAGCACCATGTTGTGATAAGAAGGGGTTGAAGAAGGGGCCATGGACACCTGATGAAGATGAGAAACTGGTGGACTACATTAACAACCATGGTCATGGTAGCTGGAGATCCCTCCCCAAGCTTGCAGGTTTTTTCTTTTTTCTTTTTTTTTTTTTAATAATAATAAACTTTTTGGAATAATTAATTAATAATTAGTTGTTTGACATGACAGGACTTTTCCGGTGTGGGAAAAGTTGCCGGCTACGGTGGAACAACTATCTCCGGCCGGATATTATAAGAGGTCCCTTCACTCATGATGAAGAGAAGCTTGTCATACAATTGCATGCCATTCTTGGAAACAGGTTTTTTTTTCTTTTTTTTTATTCTTCCTTGTAGTACGAATTAGCACTTTCGGAAAATTTCGTTTTTTTTTAATTTTTTTTAAATTTTGTAAAGTGAAGATCTAATTCCAATTTGGTTCGGAAAAAAAGAAATGGGAAATTGGGATCTTGGAAATTGGAATGAGAAAGTTTAATTTGTTCTGGAATTAGAAATTTTTGGATTGGCCGAATCGACTACATTTGTAAATTCCATTTTTTTTTTCAAGTGATGTATAAAATGCATAATAATGTCGATATTATAAATATAAATTTCGGAAGAAAAAACGTTCAACATTTTCGGATCGGAATCGACAATATTTGAAAAATTCCATTTTTTTTTGTCAACTGGCCGGTATATAAAATGGATAATATATTATAAGTGTAGTTTTCTGAAGAAAAAGAATCAAAATTTTCGGAAATTATAATCGGAATCTCATATATATTCTAATTTCATTTATATAAAAAAAACAAGAAATCGAAATTGGAATGAAAAATACTATTCCAACATCAGAAAATTTCGGATCGGAAAAAAAAAAACAATGGTCGATTTTTCCGTTTAATTTCCGGTTTAATTATTTTCGACTTTTTTTCAGGTGGGCAGCAATTGCTTCTCAACTCCCGGGAAGAACGGACAACGAGATCAAGAATCTATGGAACACTCATCTCAAGAAAAGATTGCTTCAAATGGGAATCAATCCTCAAACTCACGAGCCCTCTTCGACTTTATCAAACGGGCTCCCTTCGACCCGCCACATGGCGCAATGGGAGAGCGCCAGGCTCGAAGCCGAAGCCCGTCTCTCCAAGGAATCTCGACCGTTGATTAATCCATCACCACCCGATGGAAAATCGGACGGCGACTATTTCATGCGATTGTGGAATTCCGAAGTTGGAGAGACGTTTCGAAAAGTGGATAAGAAGACGGAATATTCCGTTTCCCAAAGTCCAGTTTTTTCCGGGACCACTACGGAAACCGGGCTTCTCACGGAACGGAAAAACGAGGATTTTCTTACGGGGTCGGATTCTTGCATCGATAACGAAATGGACGACTCGTCCGAATCTTCCTCATTGCAGCTGCTTTTGGATTTTCCTAGTAACAATGATATGAGCTTCTTGGGGCAACCTGATTGTTATTACAACAGCTTATATCCTTCCATTTTTACTTGATTTTTTTTTCGGGTTTTCGGGTTTCATTAGGTATGTAACATGACATGTTTTAAATGTTTTGGCTAGCTACTTTTTTTAATTCTCCCTATTGCTTGGGAAGAATTGAAAAGTGTAACTTTTCGTTTCTTGTCGATTTATCGAGTAATCGCGATTTTATAAATAGCATCTATATTTTTATTGAGTGACACAATTATCGGAATTTCAGGGAGTTGCTTGAAAAATAACAAGTCTCTATTAAGTTTTTAAGTCCATTAGCTCTATATCGGCTCCGACCACTTCAGTGGCAAAATTGTAATTCCATAGTCTACGAATATTTTTTCGATAAATGGTGTTTTTTTTCCGCAAGGCAAAACGTATGCAAAATTGGATTAAAAGAAGAAGAAAAACAAAATTTCCGAGGAAAAAAAAAAGGAAAATTCAATTGGTGGTTCACTAGCAAACCACTCGAGTTTTCGTTAGTCCCGAAAGCACGCAAAGCCCGATTTGGGAATCTGGCCCGTAGCGCGATACTTTGCAGCCATCTCGGAAGCTTTGAGAAGCTCCTCACCTTTCCGGGCTTCAACGGTAGCTCTCTTCTCTTCTGCATGCTTGTGTATTTGTGCTGCCTTGTTTTTCATTTTCTCTGCATATTCCGCTTTTTTCCTCTCCAGTTGTTCCTGCGCGCGCACACACACACACCGTTTTGATTTCAGACGAAGAAATATAATTATTGAAATTTTAAATGTCGATCGTTTCAATTTTACTAATGCCGTTTTCATTTTGAACGTGATTTTGACCATCTTCTAGTCTGATTATTGAAAAATTCAAACACGGAAAGAGTAGCTCTTTTAGTTAACTTTCTAATCCAACTTCAATCAGCTAGAGTAGACGTCGGATGACAAAGTTACGTACGAATCCGTTCAATTTTGAATTTTAGATAACTGATCAAAACATCAAAATTGTAGACAGTGTTCATTGATTCATGCATATATTTCTCATCTGACATTCAACTTTGGTGATTCAAATTGAATGAAAAGCTAACTCAAACAACTACAATTTGCATTATAAATTCAGACTAAAAAATAGTTAAAATCAAGTTTGAAGTCAAAACGACATTTATCAGAGTCCAGATTAATTAATTATTGTGATCATGTATTATTATATTAGTATGAAGAATAGGCCTAAATAATTAAGTAATTAATTAGTGTTTAATTACCTGTATTTTCTTGAGTTGGGCTTCAAGAGATGCCTTCTTGCTATTTTCCCATGATGAAACTTTTGCCTGCCTCTTTTGAGCCCTGCATCCAATTCCATCAAAATAATCAAGAAAATAAAAATAAAAACCAAATAAATATATTCATCAAATTAAATAAAATAAAAGATCAGAGAATTAATTACAACTCAAAAGGAAATTAAAGAAAATATTCATGGATAAAAATTCATACTTGTTCTCAACTTTGCTTTTTTCCCTTTCCTCCCAAGCTTTAATAAACGACAACTTCTTCTCGTGTTCTAGCTTCGCCATTGCGATATCTACATTACTCTGCGACAGTTCGTATTTGTTCGCTGC